GAAGATTATCTCCTGTTCTGTGCGGATCAAAGTAGATGGTCACAGTGGTTTTGTAAGCTGCAAATCTGTATTACAGCTGATAACAGCCCTTTGACCTTTCAAATCTCACAGATATAACTTCTATATAGGGTAACACAAAGCCATCAAGCTTGTGAATGTTGAGTGAGCATGCACAGAAATTTAGACTAGATTGGAATTTTTTGTTCAGCTCTGGTGCAATAAGTGGCTAGAAATAGTTCTTATTTTCCTACATTCCACCCAAACCAAATAATGGTTTGGAGCAGAGGGAGTCTTCGCCTTAAAAAACCAAGCAGGGCACCTGAACAACCGTTTATTGACCTGGAATAATCAGGGTAGGGACCGTGAACCTCTAGCCTCTTATCACAGAAGGCAGAAAAGTGATGAGACACTGTACATTAGCTACTGTTTGTTTACTGATATTACAGGTCATCTGGGAGCTGTCCCTCTGCTTCATTTGGAGCACCCTAATTGTATTAATCTTACTATCTGCATTTCAATAAGGAGTGAAGGTAGAGTTCAGGAACTTGCTTTTATTATAATGGCATCTTAAGATACATGTCGATGTGTTTTTTTCAAAGGTGAATTACCATACGTGTCTCTAAATTTGTCCTTGTAGAATAAATTTCCTACATCCTCATTTTCTTTAAATGCTGAAATGAGTGAAAATCCTAGAACAATTAAAGCAGAAGGGAGTCTGTTACTGGCCTAGTATGCTGAGGGAGAGACTTAGTACAGCCTGACTGTTAACAGTGCTTGGAGACTTTTCATTTTTAGTATCACCTTTCAAATGCAGAAAAACACTGGCTGTTCTGCAGTGCCCCTGGACTGAGCTCAGTAATGTGCTGGAGTTGTGTTGTGGCTAACCTAAGAGTTCACAGCTACTGAGCAGAAGCCAGATCAGTGAATTTCTCTTTACCCCAAACACTTCCAAATGTCCAGAGACTGCAGAATTCTAGGGTTACACAGGGGAATTACTTCATTTTAGTCAGTAATTGCACTTGCTTTATCGTCGTTCTGACAAATTACTTTGTTGTGGTTTGAGAGTAAATCTGCCTTAGATTTTCCATAGAGGTTTTAAAATGTATTTGTTAGGGAATATAAAGCAAAAAGAACTCTCACACTTATGAAAAGAGAATGATAAAATGTGGTTTTGGAATGCAAAAATTAATCTATAATATTTATTGAGCACTTTCAGAGTTTCTGAAAGTGCTGTATAAAATTGTGCTGTACTTTTTTCAAGTTTCCAGTGAGAATGCATTAGGAACACAGACAACGAATGTAAGGTTTTAATTCCTTTCTTCCATGTATCTAAATCAAAGCCATTTCTCATATATGAGTGAAACACAGACTTTAACGTAAATTTTAAAGTACAGAAAAGTCTGCAGCAGCTGTTTTAGTAATCAAATTAATGTTTTGGATTTTCTGTGGATCTTACATACATAAGAACTGCATTGAATATCATCTATACCATAGGTTAGCTGTAGGAATAGTATTGATTCTCGAGATATCCACGTTTCTGACATTATCCTTGAAAAATATCAGCACATGCTTTTTCTGCCACACATATAAATGTGTTTGGATGCTTAGTTTCTGATGCTCAGATATCAAAGTTAAAAACCATTTCAGATGTCATAGGAAAGAGTCAAGTTGAAAGCATGCATAAAGCACGATGGCAAAGTCATCATTCGTCAGCTGCTCCAAAATAACTGTCTGTTTTCAGGGATCTACCCTAGAGAAATGAAAGGTAAATCATGTGTTTCACTGAGAATTAGGCACCTTCAAATTACCTTCGATTTACAGCAGTGTAAAGTGGCACGGAGACAACTTGACCACAAACCAGCACTAACTGTTATTTCTGTCTTTTTTTTTGCTTGTTAGCAGCTTCTAGTCCCAGTATCAGCTTGCATGCTGCTATCCTTGAATATGAATATGAGCTAATTTGAGACTATCTTGGATTTGGGTAAAAAGTCAGATTGAATTGTCGTGTACGTTCATGAACTCACATTTTATTTCCCTGCTACGTGTCCAGGTGTTGCCTTAGGTCAGGTACAAGCCCAGACACAAGTGTTCCACTATATTGTCATTTTTTCACAACCACACAGAATGTTTAGCATGGTTTTTACCTGTATCTTATACCAATAAGCTTTGCTGAATGTTACCCAGTGTGCTTCTACTCTCATCTCTTTGTTCAGTCAACACCCAGTTGGTAAAGAATATAGATCAGCGTTTGTATGGTCCTAAACAAACAAAACATCTGAGCAACAGCTTTATGCTAAATTGAATGGACACTCCTAATGCAGTGGGATTACAAAACTAGTCTGAATATTTTGTGGCACTACACTGTAGGAAAGTAGCTTTCGTAAAAACTGTGTAGTTATATTTTTAACTACATAAGCGTGTGAGTTACTAGAAGCTGAAAGGGCAGTTTTTAAGCAGGGCTGGAATTTTTCTACTTCAGCTTCTTCAGTGCACCTGTTCTAGTCACTCTTGAACTATTCAGACTAATTTTGGGGGTTGCTATTTTAAGCCCTTGCAGGACTCTAAAGTCTTATTTATGGTATTTGTCTTAGAGCATTAAATGCTCATTTCCTACCTGTCTACAAAACCAGGTAGTAGTCTGTTGCATAATAACCATGTGCTCCACAAATACCATTTGATCATTTTTTAGCACATCAGGAAATTCTGCTCTGGACTGAAATTTGTAGTTATCACAAGAGGAAGCAAAGTGGCTAAAAGAAATGATATTTACTTCTCTATGTATAAAGCATAGAGTCAGTATCATAAACAAATAACCCATTTTTCTTTGATCTTCATATAAAATCAACAATGCGGTTCTTAAGGTGTCACTTTCCTCTGCCTTTGGAGATGAGAATTCTTGATTCAGACCCCAGCCTCATTATTCTGGTGAGGTTGTTACACCTAACCTGACTGACAGGTGCATCAGCAGAGTCCCCTCCCACTCCACCAGGCTTCAGTTCCTTAAGACTGCACTAATGCTGTTTGAGCTGCAGATCCCAGCTTCTAACTCAGACAGAAGCTGTCGTGCAGCTATCAGGATGCTGTTTCAGGACATATTTCAGGTAATGAATGAGTTCCTGCCTGGCTCCAGTGAAGTCCCCATAGGTCCAAATTTTTCTTCAGTAGTAGTAAATCCACTTGATTTCTGTGGATGTGATTTTCAAATACACAAATCAGATGGCCAAATCCTGATGAATTTTAATGATACTAGGCAACGATCTTCACAATTAGCTACTTCCTTGCAATTCCTGGTGCAGTGTCACTGTAAAATCTTCAGGTGTGATCCCAAACTCTAAAGGAACTGTTGACCTGATTCTGATCACACGGGGGGAGTCCCTTTTAGAATCATAGCAGCATAGAATGGCTTGGGTTGGAAGGGACGTGTGAAATCCACCTAGTGGTTCCACTGCTGTTCTGTGACCCAAATGGTCACTGGCAAGTAAGTATCCTTGTTATTCAAAATCCCTTTTACTAAGGTGACCTTAAACCTAATCTTCAATTTCCTAATGAGTATTTTAAACATTCTGCCATTAGGCAAAATGTAACTGCTGCTGCCAATACCATTGCCCTTATGGCAACCTACAGCACAATGGTAGTCTCAGTCATTGTTTGAACTTGGATGACTGACCCCTCAGGATGTGAACAGGTCCTTCTGGACAGGTGCAAAGGGAACTCTATGGCTTTTATGGTTGGAGGAGGTGCTGATTTGGGTTAGACTGCCCAGAGATTTAAGGAGTACTTCACGTGGGTCAGGAACCTGGTCCCTGCCTGGTCCGCCGTGTGACAGCTGTGCCAGCGTGTGCTCTGGGGGGAAGGGTCCAATGAGACTTCCAGAGGAGACCAGGGGTTATAAAAGTGACACAAGCACTGTTTAGCTTGCCAGTTACACTGCTGCAGAAGATTAATAATAGCAAGTTCTTACACCTTAGCATTCCACAAATTATATAGCTAATGTTGGCGTTGTCATGAAGCATAATGAACTTTAGCAAGGCGTGTCCCGTGTGGAAAGCGAAAAACATGCTGGGATTTCTAATGAAGTATATGCCTTCTTATGCCAGCCAGTGGTCCTTATGTATTTGTAGCTGAGAAGACAATCTGCAGAGATTTTTGTGGTGGGCTTTCTTTGGTTTAGGAAAGTATTTCCTGAGTTAAGAGTTTTTCAGTTTCTATTTACAGTAAATAGATGTGCAACCTTAAAGTATAAGTGTATACAAATTTTTGTGAAAATACATTGTAGTAAACCAAATATGTTAGGAAGAAGAAAAGAACTGAGAACTTCCATCTGTTAAAGCTGTTATTTCAAGTTGCTCATTAGAAGGAATCCGTCTTTTAAGTAAAATTATCCAAAATTGCTGAAAAGAATTGAAAGCTTTGTTCTCTGGCTTCGCAGTAAGACTAAAACTATGTGGTGATTACGTTTCCTAACAAAGTTTGCCTCTAGCTAGGAAGAGAAGGAGTGCTTTGACTTTTCATGTCTTCAATACATAGGTCTGTAAGGTAAGTGACAGAGTAAATCAAAACAAGCTTAATTTTGCAGGTGTAAAACTGCTATTTAACCTGTAATGGAAGTATTGCTGTGTGTGTTAGTGCAATGTTAGGTAACTGTTTCTTCCCCTTTGTTTATCAAAAAAGGGTATTTTTCTTCATAAAACACATTGTCATGTCTGTTTTGAAACGGGTTGGGATTAGAGGAGGAGCCTACTGTAAGGATGAAGAGCAGCATTCCACCTTTCCTAAAGTAGTTCAAGTTAGTTGCTTTGATGTATTTTAAATTGATTTTACACCAGTTTTGTGCGGATGGGTTTGTTTTCCTTAGCTTGTGCAGTTGCATTTGTCAGCTGGTCTAATCTCAGTGTGATGAAGAGCAGTGTGATAATACACTCTCACCTGTACTCATCCAGCTCATTTTCACACATATTTGGCTCACCTGAACGTCAGGGGTAGTGGCTGTGTTTCAGGAGCAGAGTCTAGCCTTAATATTTAGATAATACTTCAAAGGATGGTCCAGACTGGTAGAAATTATAAAGTCAGGTCATGTTCATTGCTGTGCACTGTGTGTAAGGTTGCATTAATTCTAATATCTTTATTTTATTTGCAGGGCCCTAACTCAGTCATGATTGCCCTGGTAATGCTGTTGAATATTGGTTTAGCCATTCTTTTTGTCCATTTTCTAACTTGATTGGAATTAGGAAAGGTAAGAAAGGTCTTTTTTTTTCATACAAAGTCACCATATCTACCCCACCTCAAATGATAAAGATTTAATATTTAATTTCTTTGCATACGTTTAATGTTCCCTACTTTAATTTTAGCTATGCCTGAATGTGATTCAACATAGTTATTTAATAATGTAACTGTTTTGACCCTTCAGTGAAGTCATGGCAACTAGTGGTGTTAGCCCACAGTTCTCTGCAGTTGTGTCATCAGCCTTTTAAATGGCACCTGTCATACTCAGGGAAGGAGGCTTGGAATTAGGATGGGATGCAAGAGAGATGAATCTTGGAAAATTCAGCCAGGGGCCCAGATCAGTGTCTCTGCTGATGGCTCGTGGCTTTGGGGTCCTCTGGAAGCTGAAGCAAGGAGCCATGTTGGAAAACAAAGAAAGTAATCTGCTGAAGCAGCCCTACCAGTGAAGTGCGTTGGCTTCTCCATGTGTCCAGCAGTGTGACTAAACTGAGAATGGATGGAGCTGCACTTTTTGTTGATGGAAGCTAACAGCTGCCTTACTATTTTACTGTCTGATGTGTTTAGTGGGGAGATGGGAAAACAACTGCCAGAGGAATGTGGTCAGAGGATTCTGTTGCTGTGGAAGTGATTCCAGAATTCACTCCTATCTCATTAGAAGAAATAGTTAGCAGCATCAGTCACCAGTCTTATTCCATTCCCTGCTGCTTTCAACATCTTCTGCAGTGTTCTGGGAAATTGAATTTCATTTGCCTGTGCATGATTCTGTTCATTCGTTGGTTTTGAAATTTGATGTATACCCATAACCTGTAGTCCAGCCTGGAGGAAGCTACCAGTTCTGCCTAGCAGCAGGAGCAGCAAATTGAAATATTTTTCTGAACTGAAGATAAAATTCTTAAATTCATTTTCCTAAACCTCAAGAGCCATTTTGCTTTAAGGTTTAATAAGTAATATACCATGACCATGAAATTTAAAGATGTTGATACCTTCCTAAAAGTGCTCAAATGCTTATGCCAGTAGCAAGGAAATTTTTCATAAAAATAGAATAAGAATCTTAAGCTGACATCAGCACATTCTGAACAATAGGTGGAATACCTGAATAAGCCAAGAAAGATGAGACACGGCGTTTGCATGTTGATTTTTTTTTTTCTTTTTTTAATTCTGGTGCTGTGACAATTGGTGATTTGAATTAATTATTATGTTTCAACACTGAGGCATTTTTCCAGCAGTTAAAATAAAGTCGTGTCTGAGTGCACATTTATGCCAGTGACAGTTAAGCTAAGTAGTGCTCACAATAAATAATCATACTTTTAAAGTAGTAGATTTGTGTTGAATACATTCAGGTAGAGCATTTAGAAACATTAAGTGATTGTTCATCAATTTGTTGCCTTCAGTGTCTTTAAAGTACATTTATAATTTTACCTCAGCACTTAAAAAGCCTCAAAATTTTCATTTGGAAAGTTTGTCTTAAGTCCTTTGTTCAAACAATGTGATCATGTTTCTTTTTATGTGCCATTATACTGTAATTATTATACCCTATATTAATCAAAAGCATGCTTATTTACTGAAAACATGTGGTGTGATCATTTGACAAGTGAATATTTTAAAGCTACAAAAAGCAAAGGGCTTGTATTATGGTTTATTTTATTTCTATTAGAAAATCTTTCATACAAAATAGTTTTTGAACCTGTTTGTAAACTTTCTAAGTGTTTGCATGGTTTAATGGTCGACGTTCTTACAAAGTACATTAGCATTAGCAAAGTGCATGAGTGCATCTTTTGGTGCAGGTTATTGGAGTAACACAGGTGTGGACTGAGTGTTGTGCAGCAGAGCAGCACGAGTAGGGCAGTAACACCCTGGTGTTTTTTACAGAAGTGTGTTGAGGATCCTGTGTTTTGACCAGTGTGGATAAAGAAGAAAGCAGAAAGAGAGCAAATTAAAACTTATATACGTATTATTTAAAAAAAAAAAAAAAAAGTTTAAATTTGGTTTTAAATTTAGGAAAGTAATTTTTAAATGGGAAAAAATCTCAAAATTTACTGTGTGAGCCTTGGCAGAAGTAAAATGTTCCATCCAACAGTTGAAATCACCCTGTCTCCTTACATGGGGAGGTAGTTTTGTAACTGATGTATTTAATTCCTACTAAACGATAAAATACGTTATGCTCTGGAAATAATGGGTTACAAAGCTTATGAAAATGTTTATAAATTTAAGTAAGCATGTTAGTACCATTTATAAATATGTATGATTTATAAGCTTTTTTAAGACAAAGCTCAAACAAATTGTTGGTATTTTTCTAAAATGTGCACAGCTGTATTTTACATGAAAGGCTATTTATAATTGGTTGTTATACTGTACACTACATTTTGGACAGCACAATGAAGCCTGCCAATGTACTTTAAAATGTCATTTTGTCTATTTACAGTTTCTTGCTGTCAAAGAATGAACTCTTTATCTATGAGTTTATTTTTAATTCTTGACCCAAAATGTAAAATGTACAGTTTTCACAACTGTATTTGCTCTAATAAAAATAAGTTGGTTATTAATAGAGTTTCAGACTAGTTTTTCCTGTTTATGAATTACTTTGTTCACTCTATGGAAACAGTTTTTCTAACAAATTCCATAAACGAGGAGGGGAGCAGGGAAGTGGGTGAAGTCCTGGCCACTCTGGAATCATTCTGTGTTACTGTTTTCAGCAAAGTGATTCCGTGAAACAAAAGTAAAATACATTTTTAAAAAAGGCATTTCCTGATATGCCTTCTTTTATCTTCTGATACAGGGTTTTGTATTTTTATAAACTTAGAATCTTAAATTGTATTCCCACTACTGGGGTGTTTTAATTAATCTGGTTTTAATCGGTGAGTTGACTAGTCCATTAACAGCTGTTCATGAAAGTGAATCAACAGCTTTCTTAGACATCCCTCCTCCAAGTCTTCACAGATCCAAAATTAACATGAAGTTTGTGAGTCAATATTCTACACAGAGGAAATTAACCATTACAGCTGTCTTAAAGCCACCACATCCTCTGAACAAGTAAATCAGCTGAGAATTTTGTTTTCTGTGGTTCTAGTTCAGGTTACTAGCCAACTGTACTGAAATATTAATGTTTAGTTGAGAAAGAGAGCAAGTTTTCTTAGTAGTACCAAGTTAATGGAAACATAATTTAATGGAAACTTTAGGAAGTAATTATTACTGTCTTGTTCTTTCAGCATGGAACTTAACTTTAAGAATTTGTATTTTCTATGCAATGAGCCACTCCCTAAAGAAAGTTCTTGGCTCTTCAAGTAAAGAAAAATAAATTCTCAAGAAAAATAAGCAGAAATAATTATAATGCCAGAAAAATTTAAAGTGCACTGAGACAGCTCTTCTCTGACATTTTGTGATCTACATTGCACATAACATGGTCAATAATAAAAGTAAAGTTGACATGAAATATTTCTTAAGTTCTATGAACATTCTAGTCCTTCCTTTACTTAGCATATGTAGTTCTTTGCCTTCCCACCAGCAAAGCAATACGGTTTCAAGAAGTGTGGAAACTTCCCCATTTTCTTTCCAAACAGAGGGATTTGGTTTGAAAGCAAAAATTCCCTGACAATTCCAAGACTACAATTTGCCTTTCAGGTACAAACTTATGTTTAAAAAAATCTTTACTACCACTTAATGCTGACTTTAAAGGAATTAAATGCCTCTTCACGAGCATTTGATTAAAAGTCTTGAAATAGTTATTTACATAACTTTTAATGACACATTGCATGTCTATGAAAAGCTCTTTTAAGATACAGTTACACAATATTAAAAGATTCTGACAAAGAATCTAGCAATAAAAGCCTGCAGAAATTCTTTACTTACCGAGCTACAGTAACATTCTTAGTTACTAACTAAACATCTTTAATGTTGTTAATAAAGCGTGGTTGTGAATTATATCTAAATGTCTTACTTATAGCTCATTTGAACCATTTAGTCAGGAGAGACAGTTCTACATACTGCTCTTCTGTGGAAATGGAATTCAGTAAACAAGGCACATGAAGAGAAGGGAAATTAAATGAGCCTTTCAAGTGAAGTAGTCTTCTCATTCATTTAATATTCAGAGAAACAAGAAAAAAATATTAATTATGTTAAGTTTGAGGAAGAAGCTGCATATCTATCTCATTTCTTTTTTTCTGCTAGTCGCAGAAACTGGAAAATCAGAGACTCCACACTTCCTGCCATTGTAGGAGGTAAATGTAGTTTCCTTACAAAGCATCTTTAAAAAAAAACTGTCTGTAACATCAGTGGCTTTTAGACTAGGAGGAAAAAGCAAAAACATCCCCTATCTAAACAGTTTATGTTGTGACTGTTCCTGTAACAGCTGAACAGATCCCTCAGCCCTATAAAACCAATAGCAAAAATGAAGCTGGTGGCAAGAATTTGTTAGAATCACTCGTGTTTCTTCAGTTTGTTTGCTGGGAGAAGGAAACCAAAAGCCGGGAACAGAGTTTTGTGATCTGGTAATCTAAACTTCATCATGTCAATGTGTTTGTTTCAGCTAATGTTTTTCACAGTGTTTTCCTGGTGATCTTGGGTGGAAACTTGCAGTATATTGAATGCCATGACTCCAAGAGGAAGGTTTTGAAGTTTTTCAGTGGTGGAAAAGAATAGGATTTTCCTTCTCATCCTTGAAATGGTTTGGGCTGGATTTTTACTGTGCTTTCACTATTTTTAAAATTATCTTTCGTCCTTCACTGCCCTCCCACCCCCCAGCTCTACCCAATTCCATTTACTCTGCTCTTCCCCCCACACAGCCAGCTGCCCCCAGGTCAGCACTGGCTCCCGGGCGCAGCAGGGCACGGGGAGCCGTGTCCTGGCTTCGGGCTGGGGCCAGGCTTCTGCATCCTGCTGGTACTGGTGCCTGCAACTGGATTCCAGTTTCAAATCTATACTTGTGGTCCCCTGTAACAGGACAGTGATTTAGACACAGTAGGTGGGAACTGGAAAGAAAATGACTGAAAATGCTGCAGACAGATTTGTCATGGCTCTTCATAATTCACAGAAACCAGCCTAACACCGTCACCGCTGAGGAAAGAATCTGGTGTAGGCTGGTTACAAACTGCCAGCAATGCCCACAGGAAGCCTGTGAAAAAGACTGGCCTTGCAGCTGAAGCTAATTCTCAGCTCAGGAGACCAAGGAGTCCTCCTGAGGGTTGTGATCTGCTGGGACAGTGTGGTATGATGATTTCTGGACTTGACAGACAAACATGTAGATTGTTAGATGGAATAAAATACATCCTCTGTTGGAAAACTGGGGTTGCTCACTTGCCTCAGCTTTCATATGTGTTCCTTCATGTCTTACACGGATTAATTGGACAGCTCTATGGAAATTGGGACAGATATATTTAGGCAAGGACTAGGTTTTACATTTTTAAGTGGCTTCAATGTTAATTAAGTAAAGAGCAATAAAAGAGAGAGGTTAATTATAGGCTTTAAGCCATAGCTTTTGAACTCTTTTTTTTTTTTTTTTTATGCTGATTTATCCAAATTGGAAGAAAATGCAGAATATAGTCAAGGAGGAAAATTCCAGGTGTTACCTTTCACAATAATAACGTGTATGTTTGTCCATGACAGTACCTGAATTCTTCTGAGATCAATACATGAATTTGAGAGAGGAGATCTCTCTCTCAGATTTCTAAACTGGTTCACCAAATAGCAGCTTGGCAGAGACACCGTAATACACCACGAAAGACAGATCTTGGCCAAGGATTCTGAGAAAGGCTGCCTGTATCTGAAGTCCTTAGTCTACACTGAA